TTTTTAAAAAGGGTTTTTTTTTTTTTTTTTTTTTGGTTAGGATATGTTGATGAGATGTACATTGGACTCAATCTTTAAAGTGGGGTTTGATGTGGAGTTAAAGTGTTTGGATGGGTTTAGTAAAGAAGGGGAAGAGTTTATGGAAGCTTTTGATGAAGGTAATGATGCAACTAGTTTAAGATTTATAGATCCTCTTTGGAAGCTGAAGTGGTTTCTCAACGTTGGGTCACAAGCTAGACTCAAGAAGAGTATTGCTACTATAGATAAGTTTGTTTATAGACTCATTACCACTAAGAGGAAAGAGCTTGCTGAGGAACACAACACTGTGAGTTGTTGAGTTCTCTTTTAAATTTTAGCCATCTTCTTTTTTTTATTGAATGTTAAAGTATAATGTTTGGCTTTGTTCTTAGGCTGTTAGAGAGGATATATTATCTAGATTCTTAGTGGAGAGTGAGAAAGATCCGGAGAACATGAATGATAAGTACCTGAGGGATATAATCTTGAGCTTTATGATTGCTGGCAAGGACACAACCGCTGCATCTCTCTCTTGGTTCTTGTACATGCTCTGCAAGAATCCACTTGTTCAGGAGAAAATTGTTCAAGAGATTAGAGATGTGACATCGAGTCATGAGAAAACAACCGATGTGAAGGGTTTCGTTGAGAGTATAGATGAAGAGGCTCTTGATCAGATGCAGTATCTCCATGCAGCTTTGTCTGAGACCTTGAGGCTTTACCCTGCTGTCCCTGTGGTAAAAAAATGACCACTCCTTTAAAGATTCTTCTGTGATTGAACCAAACCAATGAGGATTTAATGCTTTCTTTGGTCCGTTTTAAAGGACACAAGGTGTGCAGAAAATGATGATATACTTCCAGATGGACATAGAGTGAAGAGAGGGGATAATGTCTATTACATATCCTATGCAATGGGAAGGATGACTTATATTTGGGGGCAAGATGCTGAGGAATTCAAGCCAGAGAGATGGCTTAAGGATGGTGTTTTCCAACCAGAATCGCCATTCAAATTTATAAGCTTTCATGTAAGTACACTCTCTCCCAGATGTGGTTAAGAGTAAATACAGTCTCTCCTAATACCTGAGATATTTTGTGTATTTGACTGTGTATGTAGGCTGGTCCAAGAATCTGCCTTGGCAAGGACTTTGCATACAGGCAAATGAAGATAGTATCAATGGCACTTCTTCACTTCTTTCGCTTCAAAATGGCTGATGAGAAAAGCAACGTGCATTACAAGAGAATGCTTACGCTTCATATCGAAGGAGGACTCCATCTCCATGCATTCCCGAGGACAAGTACTTGATTTTCACTCAACACTTGCCACACTTTTATAGTCCCTCCCTGCTTCATGCCACTCAACACTTGCTTACCCAAAACAGTTATACTGCCTGAAAATTCTAATAGAAGCGTAGCGTGTGAGAGGTTTCTTTTGTGATATACCCTTAGAAAGATGAATACAAACACCAAAAGACTTTACTGCTTTTATATGTTGAAAGAAATATCTGGATCCACTCTACTGTCAAAAGTTTGTATTCTATGAATATTTATGCATACGTGCACTGCAAATACATTCCTTCTGCTTAACTTTGGAATATATTTCTTTGCATTGCAAAAATATTTATGAATAGAAAGAATGTAATAAAATCAACCGAAAAACGCCATTATCTTAATCTTACAGATAAACAAGCCGAGAAATTACAAATCTACAGAAAGAAACAAACTCAAGCCTTTGGTGTGTATACCTCAACAAACTCAAGAAGCCTTTGATCTAAACCATCTCCAAAATAACAATGGAGCAAGAAACCAGTTTGTCACAAAACAATCGGCCGTGATAAGTTTTACTAGAACTAAACATACTTTTACATATGTTACACACGACAAAACAGACCAAACACGTTTGATTCTTCTATTCTCTCATTCCCACCCAAGCTTCAGCATCTGATCCACCACCTTTAAGCTTAACTGCAAGTTACACAAGGTTTTACCAACTTTTACCATGGACTAATGATGACTAACGATATCAATTATTTGTGCTTATGAACAAGGCTCAAATGTTAATAGATAAATTAATAAACTTACAGCCGGATCTGTGAAGATTATCAACTGTTTATCTTCCGTGGAAACTAAGAGGTTTGTGTTGTCAACGTTTAGAGCTAGTGTGGTTATATCCTGCCCTTGACCAAGCTTTAGCACATGGAATACCTACAACACAAGTTGTTTAGACCAGATAATAACTACCCCCCGTGGATTAGTTTACCTCTCTCTTATCAAGGAGTTCAGAATTGTACCTGTAGTGTGTATAAGTTGAGGAAACAAATTGAAGGAGATGAAACATCCACTTTCTCGATTTCTTCGACATCTTTTGATGTTTCGTTACTGCTCGAATAATCCATGCTGGAACACGAGTTCATCCCAATCAAGGCGTTTTGACCATCCATAGACATTTCCATGCAACTTATGCTACAAGAGAAAGGTAGTTTCGCTTTGGCAATCAGAACTCCGTTTATGGTGAAGACGCTAATAGAACCCTCCGAGCTACTCCATGCCATAATAACCCCATCAGATGAGATGCAAAGAGAATTAGCCGTCACACCAGCTAATCGTCTGATCAGCCTTCCTTTTCGTATGGAATGCAATAGAACATCCGATGACTCGGAGGACGAAACAACCACTCCTTGATCTGAGCTGACACAGCAAGAAACTATTTCTCTTCTGTGGCCACGGAGCACTTGTATTGGCCCTTCAATGCGACACTTTTTGCCTTTATTTGCCAATGTGTTGGCCAGATTCGTGTTGTTTGCGGAGGAAGGCGCTCCAGAGCCAGCTGATGGCTCAGACACGCTTGTTCGAGAAGTGAACGACTTGTGAATTCTCCACAACAAAACAGTACAGTCCCGTGAACCCGTCACGAGGAAGTTGTTATCTGGAGACAGAGCCAGACATGTAACAGGGGCGCAGTGCCCAAAAGCCGTTTCCAGAGTTTTTGCTCCATCAGATGAGACTAGCTTGATACTATTATCCGCATGTCCACCTATAAGAAACACATAAGATTTCTGTAAATACATTACCAACACACTCGAGACATTGGGACTGCAAAACTGCTTGCTTTTACCTGTTATTATTTCTCCATCGCTTGTAATAGCAACTACGGACGAACTTCTGATTCCTGATGAGGCAAACGCCTGTGCCTGAGGAAATTGCCAGTCACCAGTTCCGGAACTAGCTGGACCCTTGAACATGCGCATCAATGATCCACTACCACTAGTCGACGTTGCTGTTGCTTTCCCGTGATGGAAGAGGAAAGGAGTACCTTGACCATCAGGGGTGTTTGGTTGCCACTTGTGCTGTGCAACACGAGCTGCTGGCACGTTTATGTCCACAATCACAACACTATCTGAAGATGCCTGAATGGCTGAGGCAGGTAAGTTGCAGCGTTCCGGATTTTGGACAGCATACGGTTTGATCTCTTTTGGATTACGAAAAATGGTCTGCCAAAATTCAAAATAACTGTCATGGTTAAATAGCAATTTAGCACATAAGCATATCGTAAGTGGATATTTATGTCTTAACTTTCTCCACGATAACCTATATTACCGTCGCATACACATACAGTAGTCAAAAAAGCTTTGCTAAATCGTATGACACAGACCTCTATAATAAACACTATTCATTATGATAAAAGTTGTTAAGGATCCTATTGACCTTCAATAATCCACCCTCAGAGAAATGATAATTTTTAGAAGAGGTGTTGACTAAGAGTGCAATTTCAAAACCAAACTGACACTTGACGTTACCTGCATGTGGAGGACATCTTTCAGCGGCATCCTTTTCATGTGAGGAATAGTCAATAGCTGGGACGGCGTTTGCCCAAAATAAGCTATTTGGTCTTGCGTAGCACGTTGTTGTACCTTCATCACATATTCACAGGTAAGTCACGAAAACATGTATACTGTCACTGAGCAACTCCAACAGTATAACAAAGTTGCCTTACCGGGTCTGTGATCTTATCAATATCAACAGTCCCCTCGTAGGTAATGTAGAAGAAAACGTTATTTGCCAGTATAGCTTCTTTGCCACGTTGCTTATACCTAAATGAATAAGTTCATTGTTGTGATTATTTTGCTGGACACTCGATAAAAGGAGGCAACTAAGTTATTGGAGAACGTGTTGGAGGGGGCCAGGAGAAAACCTACCCAAATATAAGATCAATCCATTCATGCAAATGTGCAGATACATGCTCGCTTTCAAGTGCCCTTCGTTGCTTATGTACAAAATCCACTGGGTTTTTGGCCCAAGGAGGGAGTTTTACAGCATCTGATAGATACAAAAAAAAAAAACGCATCAGCGAACCATAATTTCACCAGCCAGGCAAAAATTTTAGCTATGACAAGGAAGAGGACCACAATACCAAGCTTTTCTCCCAACTGCGTTGTACCAAAGTCGATTGAATTTTCGTTGGTGAGCACCTCAGGGAGATAAAACATCTCTGGAACCTGCAACGCAAAATATAGCGGCAAAATATGGATGAGGCAGCTGAGGAAGAGGCGAATAAATAAATCTATTCGATGCTTCAGGGAAACCAATACTTACCAACTCTTTCACATCACTCATGTCTTCTAAAACTCCATTCCATGTGGCAGGAATGTCTGAAAACATGCGGTCTGCATGATCAAACTTGCCACCTTGAAGTTGAATTGACAGGGTTGTAAACGGTTCAACTCTTGCAAGATAATACAATACCTGCGCACATGAGATAATAATGATAACATATCAAAAGGTGTATAAACTTCATCCAGCTACATCAAAAATAGTGTCATTGTCTTTCTTCCAGGATTCAGAGAAATACAAACTTTATACTGGGAATGTAGTTGTTGCCGGATATTATAGAGAAGAAAACTTACTGCTCCAGCGCTTGAGTAATGCGAGCCATAGTGAAATTTGGGGATGACTGGATCTTCAAAGCTAAAATATCGCTCTTGAAATTTTTTCAGCCGCTCCGGGTTCAATGCACCAATTGGCTGAACATATACAGATCCACATCACAACAAGATTCCTAATTTTATAAGCCATCGTATACAGAATTAGAATGAAAACTTAGAAGCAAACTGCAACGGAAACCACCTTGGAAAGATCTCTGAAGGTAGATGGATTTGAAAGGTCCAGGCTTTCTGAACTGTTGTCAGAAATAATCCACGGGAAAACAGGATACTGCAAAGAATAAGATATTTTATGAAGGAAGAAACGATATTGACAAGTTCACAGAAAACGCTAAAGAGCACAAGATTTACCTGAGTAATGTCATTGTAACTACGACCAGCCAACGTGTTAAGCTGCATTAAGTATTCAAAATTGCTAATCTGCAGAAGTTATCCAGATGGGGATTTTCTTTATAACACGTTATTCTCAAAAGAGGATTAAAAATTTGCATAACAAGTGGAATCTGCTGTTTATCGGTACCTCCCATCTAGCCCAGCGCTCCATTAACTGAGTTCTTCTCAAAAGCTGTTCCGGCCTCTAAAGATATAACAATATATGTAAGTTTGCAGCACAGGGCAGTAAGTGACTCAGCCTAGGCATATGCTTAATCAATCCTCCGTTGAAGAACGATATGGACAAAGAGTAATTCAAAAGCTAAACAAAAGAAGATAGTAAGGAAAAACTACAAACCTGAGTTGCTAGGTAAATGTTGTTTAAGTGAGGAGGTCTTGCTTGAACGATGGCTCGATATGCATTTCTTCTTCCCTCGGTATTCTATGGAGTTAAACAAGAAAATTGGGACAAGTAATTGGTTACAGTTTAGGGATTGATAACATACATATATCATACGTAGAAAGGGTTTTAGATGCAGACCCCAAAATCAAAGAAAAAGTTTGAACGGTCAACCATAAAGAGTTCCAAGGCGCTCCTTCTCAGGAGATATCTGAGAAATAATCAAAGATATACATCACAGTCACTAATCCAAGTCGAATAGCGGTGGAACACAACCCAATCAAAATAGGAACACTTAACCCAGAGATAATAAAATGAAGTAATGAATAGGAATATACGAGCTAAACAGAATTTTGATGATGAAACTTTACCTTCGGCTATAAATCTGATGAAGGGAAGACATTGGCCAACTACGATCCTTTTCTGGGTCACCTAATTGAGATCCATCTGAATGATCAGTCCTATGCTGGCTTTCGCTGTTGTCAACAATAAAATTTATTCTCCGTGTTGTAATCTGAGAAGGCAAAGTAGTTATGATTAACAACCAGAAAGCCATATAGAAAGCCTATTTGGGAATTGTACTCAATTATAGGC